TTTGAAATTCATTTATTATTTTAAAAACTTCTATTAATTTGCACCATTTTACAATTTCGCTTCATACTCACTATCAAATTATTATATATAATGGGGTGTTAAAGAAAATAGCATTGCAGTGATTGCCCTACACAAAGTGTATATGGAACCGTCGGTCTCATTCCAGACACTTGAAAAGATAAGTATCAACCGTCCAAGTATGTCCATAAATCGTACTTTCAAGGAATACAACAACACTTCGTCTGTTGAAGACTAGAAAATATCAGAGCGGCGGAATGCGTTAGGCAAACAAAGGCTGTAAATGCTGTTTTAATTAACGCTAACAGATTGCAAACCCTTTTTCCAATCATTTCCAGTCCTGACAGAAACCCAGCTTTAACACAAGGCACCAACTTCTTGAGTGTTAGACTCATAATGACAAGCACCTCAAAAATATTATAGGCAAATTGGACGTCTTTAGAAGAATAATAGAAATTTTAACAAGAAGGTAAAATTTAACGTCCGAAGTTAACGAAGTTGGTAACTCCTGACTTTTAATTATTTTTGTATTCTACGTACCCATTTATTAAAAATGCAACTATATTATTGAAAATATATTAATACATTATGATTTAATTATTGCATAAATTTATTATGAATAAGGCCAAAAATACTAAGACTGACATTTATCTGACCTATGAAAATCATTTATGTGTTTTAAGATATAATCTTCTTTAAGTAATCAATCGTCCATAAGGCGTTATAAGGTTTCTACTTGCTAATAAAATTGTACTAGTATCCCGAGTCAGGTTTACTAAAGTACTTATAAAGTACACTAAATCAATGCTCCTGTCTGGCGAGGATGAAAATGTCCAACTAAATTGTTGATACGAGGAAAAGTCCATCTTAGAATCGAAAACAAAATTATCGATTGTTATCGATCGAGCAAGGTTATACAAAATAGAATGAACTACGAAATTCCGAATTAAATTGAAATCAATAAAATAGTTACATATGATAAATTACACGACGAAGACAAAACAAATATAAGGCAGGCAGGCAGTTTTACTTTTAACAATAATCATAAATACTAATGAGGTTTAATAAGAATTGATGGCAGCCTCTAATTATTTTCAAGTCGCATCCGTTATTAAAGCTGATAGCGCCGATACGGCCATTCTGACAGGCGGTGCGTGCTCTGCACCTGCCTGGTTATGTGTTCTTTCTTGGTTGGTTTTCGTTATATGCTTGGACCAGTCGCGCGTCTCGTAAAGTAGATGGGACAGGATCAAGAATTGATGCTTCATCTTCCGAAGTCATGCCGATACGGTCATACTGATGTTTGCTCTGTGATAAAAGATAAATGCTTTTGTAGTCTAGGTACTTCCACAGTACACCTAGATAACTTTATATTGTTACAATTATGAATATCAAAAATTTTTTTTTTTTAATCGTATGGGTAACGTTGTTTACTACAACACAACTTTGAGATGGTCATAATATCACGTCCAATTATCTAAGCTTCATGGCTTTGGGGGCATCACACGAACATTCATAACATATTTGTCATAGGACGTCTCCGCCCGCCTACAACATTTTTTTTTTTTATTTATTTGTCATAGGACGTCTCCGCCCGCCTACAACATTTTGTTTTTATTTATTTGTCGTAAGACGTCTCCACCCGTCTACAACAATTTTATTTTATTAACCATTTTATTATTATTATTATTTTGTTATGGTTCGGATCCGCCATCAAAGGCATCTTTTATAGTAATAATAATAATTTAATAATTTTATAGTAATATATCTCAAAGTAAGTGTTTCAAAATCACACTTCTATCTACGAAATATGTAATGCGTTTGAAATGAAGTAAATTGAACAAAATGAAATACGCTCACCGGATAACTATTAGGTAGTCGAACAGTCTACCTTGCTGCTCGTTTACTTATACTCTCTCGTCACTCCAGTGGAACTTCGTCTGGCTGGTCACGAATCACATTTCAAAGTGTTCCTCGGTTTCTATTACTTTTTCCGTGATATTTTTTTTTATATTAAATCTCCATTCTGAAATTATTTAAATTTTAGCTCGAAATCTCTAAAATCCAACTTTTTATCTTCTCTCCGCCTCGACCATCCTGTTTTAAATGTGTTGCTTCGATATCCACGGACGGATTGTCAAATTGTAATCTAAACTGTTAAAGCCGGATTGAATTCGTATGTTCATAACATCGGCAAGGATACTAAATTTGTCAGATGTACGCTAAAGCCTGTAATCACAAAACTATTTATTAATATGAGCCCGGCCTCAATCCTCGCAAATAGTTGACTGATTTGTTTTCTATTCCCGGAGATGTTATTTGCCATTGATTCTTGTATAACGCACCCCTGAAATCATGCATTTTATTAAGATTAAATTTACCAATTGATATTAAATTTAAATTCGGCGTGATATCCTTTTCCCGTCGACAACATGATTGAAACGTTTGACCTCGGTTAGCAATGGAAATGGAACAAAACTTAGCTGTACTCGCAATAGGTGTATTTGATTAGAAATTTAGAGTCAATTATGCTATCATTTGAAATATAACATCGTTTTTTAGTGGCACTGCTGTGTGTGTTGACCGACGTGTTAATATTACTGTGAAGGGTATGTCTACAGTCGATTATAAATAAAGCCTTGGCGCCGGCTGTTTGATATCAAAATCATGTAACTTCTTATAGATTGAGTGACTTCATATTTACTCATAGTTTCCCAAGGCCGCTCTTCGTCATCTCATGGTATTCTCAAGGATACAGCAAGGATCTGTGGTTAGCTCAAGGGTAATACGTGAGTAGCTCAGAGGTACGCTCTCCACATCTGTGGCGTAGACTTGTCTTCTCACGGTTCCACAAGGCATCCCTACGTAATCTCATGGTTCTCTTTCGGATACATCAAGGACCCGTGGTTAGCTTAAGGGTAACTCGTGATTAGCTCAGAGGTCACGCTCTCCAGATCTATGGTGTAATACTTGTCTCCTCACGGCTCCACAAGGCTTCCCTACAGAATCTCATGGTACAGATTCTCTTGAGAATACACCATGGACACGAGATCAGCTCACGGAAATTCCCTACACACTAAAGGCAACATAGAGCTCTCATTATTTCCGAAAAAGAAGAGCGCGTCTTATCTCGTAAGTTTTAAAGATATCACTATTAAAATAGTTTGCATCTAGTTTCGTGATAATAAAATTAATTTCGTTATCGATATCTTGTTTAGCCTTCAACCAATGGTTTGTTGTCGCGGCGAAATGAAAGCATTTTTGATTCGAAATAAGTGGCAAAGGATATCTATCAGACACCGTATTCTTATTTAATTCTCTCTATGACATTATTCAAATGATTTTTCAGTTCCAATCTTGTTTGTTTTAAGAATGAGACATTATTTTTAATCCCTATAGAATACCCTAATGTAAGCAGATCCTGTCTAATCATAACGTCGTTGAAAATACATGAATTCACAACATGGAAAACTCACTTTACTGAATCACTCTTAAATTGTTTAAAGAATTTAGATATAACATTTAATGCGAGCGTTACTTACACTTTCTAATGCAATTGTATTATTATATTGCGCTTTACTTAGAAATCTATCTTTCAAGAATTTTTTTTTTTTTTTTTTTATTTCATTAAAGAACATTCGGTACCCGAGTCGAAGCAACATGAAAACCTCTCACCGGTTTCACTCCAGAGCTGAACCATATCTGGACGGAACAGATATTCACGCATCGTTCGGTCCATGCTTAATTGGCTTTGAATTCAACACTGGGGCAGCGCAGCGCGAAGTAGCCTCGTTGACCATACTTGAAGCAACTAGGAGTAATCATTTCCTTCGGCGCGCCAGGTTCTTTTAATTGTTGAGAGGAGCTGGTATCTGAAAACTCAGGATGTGTATTAGTATTTGGTCAAGCCCGCTATGGCCTCAACCTTCAGTTAGAACGTGCCCGTCTTGCCTCAGTTATAGCGCCACATCGTCGCATAATATCTCCGCTTAATATCCATACTACGTGGCTTCTTACGTAAATGTTGTAACCAATCGTATTCACATATTTGAGCTCACTCCTTTTAAAGATTTCATTTTCATTTGAGAATCATGGTTCCTGATTTACTACGTATTTATAGCCATATAGATGTGTTGACACCACTCCCGAAGACACACACTACCACCGGGGTCAAACGATGATAAAAATGATCTTCTTAGTAATTTTAATATTATCCCTTGATTTATTTGTAGTAAACGTTTGCACACGCTCTGCATTATTGACATCAATGAATGGCATGAAAAAAATTCTCTTGTAGCGTTCTTCAGTACGCAAGTTCTCCACATGGTTATTTTCTTCAGCTGGATAGGATTTATAAGACCGGCATGATCACGAGAGCGATCCCACTTCTGATATCAGATTTAATACAGATTCGTTGTTTTTAAAGAGAGGGACGCCAGCCTCGCTGACGTAACAAATATCACTTCTTCTAGAGCATTCGATGATATTTTAAAATGAAACTGCAATTGTTCTTAATACTCCTGTATTTCTCAAAGATTCTTCATATTAACCTACTTCAATGATACACACTCACTGAACTCTGAATTATCAATGCTGAATTCTCAATTCTGGAGTCCGCCGTCGTGAGTCCAGACGTCATATTTTTGATTTAAACATAATTCTATTCTCTTTTGATTTCGTTTTACTTTTAACAATAATCATAAATACTAATGAGGTTTAATAAGAATTGATGGCAGCCTCTAATTATTTTCAAGTCGCATCCGTTATTAAAGCTGATAGCGCCGATATATATTTTAATGCGTATTTTGATTTTATCTTATAATACAAATATTCGAATACGTATAAAGAGGTGCAGGTGTTACTTTAATGAAAATTTAAAGAATTTTCTTTGGATATTTTAAGCGCTTTATATGACGCCATTACTTTAAAAAAATGTATGACTTTTTTTGTGTTAGAATGACGAGTTGCTCTTTTGTCTATAGTCAGCGGTTCAATACCGATAGACACAACCCTCTTCGCCTTCCTGAGGTACACTCTAGGACTGCCAGGCACGAAGGCTATGTGTTATCAAGGAGTCTGCGGCGTGTGCATCGTCAACGTCACTGCTAAACGACCCACCACCGGCACCGTTGAAACCTTCTCCGTCAATTCAGTGAGTATTCCCACTATATTAAAATACGTAACATCATTAGTATCTCTTAGTACTAATGCTTATGTCATTTGTAGACTGAACGAATTTTAGAAATAGGAATATTTGAGGAAATATTTAATGTATAAATGTTACTTCTCCAAGTTATAGCTTGTGGTTAAACCTAAACAAATAAAACAAGTACATGTAAAAATATATTACACTTTACATGTTTTGGTGCCATATTGCGTAGATCGATTGTGCATAAATTAAATTAGTTAATTCAAACTTGTCTATCAATATTAATACTTCAAGCGTTATTTTGCTTCATTCAGTGATTGTTTATTAGAATCTGTTATTTAAACAAAATAATTTTTCCTCACTGTAACAGTAATTACTTTACGTTAACCTGACCAGTGCACTTTCCAAATCCTTTTTCCGTGCCTCCAAAATATGGTTGAATTAAGCGATACTACTTTTTTTGATGTCTCGTTTGTACATACATATGTCATCACAATTGTTATTTCAGTGGCTCAAACAATTATTATCTTTTCCAGCATTGACTTTTATACATATTATTGTTTGATACAAGCACTCTGCATGCAATACATTTGTATTTCTGCGAAACATTTTATTAATATACATATGCATAGAAAAAATAAAAATACACATTCTTTCTTTTATTCTATATCACTATACTATTATATTAATAATTTTATTAGATATAAAAGAGAAACGTAAAGAGCATAAAGAATATTACAAACAATCCTACGTTAGTTTTTTTTAATTTTATTTTTACTTGTTACAATTATGTTGGTATTTTTTATATTTATGTCTAAGTTTTCAGTGTCTCATAAATCAATATTGGTTTTTCCGTACACTGGAAAAACAAAAAAAAAAGATATTGCAACATTTTAAATTACAAGTATCCTCTTGCCAGAAATACTAAAATATAGATCAAAATATTATATTAAGATGGATCAACGATCATGATTTTTGCCCTTTTTGATTTTAAGACCCAGTTTCACCAATCAATATTTGTTTAATCTAATCACAGCATTTACTAACCAACCTTCAAAATTATAAATATCTATTAAAATATGCACGTCCCGCCTTGACAAATTAACAACGCATTATTAAACGTCATGTCAAATAACCGACTACCAAATTATTCGTTCTTGTTATAAGACGGCCAAGGGAAACTATAGCGTTTAACACGGCACTTTTGCCACGATGCATCACTTTATACTTTGATCGTACATATATGTATATCCCTCGATACGTCACTTGTAAGCTAATGTGGCCAAATGTTATATATCGTTGGTTGCATATATTTAGCACACAAAAAGCTTTCTTTTCAATTTACTAGGTGTAACTTGTCAAAATCGTGTTGTCAATAAATTGTGTTATATATTATTGTGTTATAAATATAGACATAAATTGTGTTCAAATTATAAGATATAAAAAGAAAATTAAATTTGCAATGTTATAATAAGCTGGAGGCAAAATCATCATAGGAAATGAAATTTTAATTCACTTTATTAATAAGTACAAGGAAATGTATCGTGTAAACTGCAAACTGTATCGTGTATCGTGTAAACTGCATTATGCTACTGCAATATGCTAATTAATCTTATTATTATTTGTGCAGTGCCTGGTGCTAGTGTTGTCGTGTCACGGCTGGGACATAACCACCATAGAAGCTGTAGGGAACCGTCTCGATGGGTACAGCGAGGAGCAGAAAAGGATCGCAGCGTTCAATGGGACTCAATGTGGATATTGTACACCCGGCTGGGTCATGCAGTTACATAGGTGGGTTTGATTTTAGTGTTTGTAAATCGATATTTACTTTTAGTGACATATAAATTTGTTCCTAGGGTACACGGAAGAGATAGATTGACTCTAACATAATGTTTTTTTTCTGCTATTTCAAACATTATTAGAACAAGTTTTACATATCGTACTACTCGTTATTGTTGTAAAATACTAATCTAAGAATTCGATGGTACCATTGTATGGATCTATGAGCAATAGTGTTGTAACAATAAAAAAGAAATGATCCTATCATTCTCGATTACTAAGAACCTACAATTAATTTTGTACTTATGATGTTACTTTTTATGACATAGTAAAAGTCGCAGTGGAAATTTTATTCAGACGGTCATAAGTATAACGTCACAAATAAAAAAAAACATTAAAATATTTTTTCCCCTAATTATAAAACAGGTAATTTTATAAAAACGGTAAAATTAAAATTATATTCATCTCTATTCGTCTTCATATACACTAAATATACATAGTTTAATAGTAGGTATTAGAAAACACATATATATTTTATTAAGACATTTCTGAGGTCGTGATGGGGTAAATATATTTTTTTCAGCTTGAAAGACAAGAACCTGTCAATGCTAGAACTTGAAAACTCTTTTGGTAGCAACACATGCCGGTGTACAGGATTTAGACCAATTTTGGACACAGTGAAGTCTTTCGCTTCTAACGCTACCCCCGAACTATGCAAAGCCGTAAAAGACATCGAAGACTTATCAGTTTGCACGAAAGACAAGGCGAAATTTTGTCGACAAAAATGTTCTTCTTTCTCAAGCGACAGTGACTGGAGTGTTGTTTCGGATTTAACGAACGCTAATGAAATTATAGTTATTCATTATGACCATAAAATCTTCTACAAAGTATTTGAAATAGATCAGATCTTTCACCTTTTCAGAAATTATTCCAGTGCACATTATATGCTTATTGACGGTAACACTGGCAAAGGTATTTTCTATCAGATTTCATCACATTTGCTTTCTTTGGTATCACAATATTTTTAAAATAATAAATACTTTTCTTACAGCTGTTATAAAGAACTTTGAGTATCCACCAATTTTGATAGACATCAGCAATGTGGTGGCTTTAAAACAGCATAGTATCGATCAGAACTTGATACTCGGGGCAAACATTTCACTAGAAGACTGTATGATTCTGTTTCGAAACATTGCAGCGGAAAGAGAGGAGTTCCACTATCTAGATGTATTCGCGAAACATTTGGATTTAGTGGCACATATTCCCGTTAGAGAGGTCACTATACTTCATTACTTAATCATACTTTTTTCTTAGCATCTTCTTAATTTTGACAATAACTTCAAATGTCTTCCCATTTTAATAAAATTATCGTGAAAACATTTTATTTCTTCCAGATTGGTTCAGTAGCAGGCAATGTTATGCTAAAACACAGGATGAGATCATATCAATCAGACGTTTTCCTCCTTTTGGAATCCGTCGGGACAATTGTCAATATCCGTATGTTATAATTTTCTATTAACAGTGCAATTATTTGTAATTATATCGTTGTTGTAACAGACAAAGAATGTTTCTTATCGCTACTTTCTTTATACATATTTAATTAATGGAAAAAAGAAATTTCTTATAAAATAACTTTTGAATTATAGGATAATTGATAACTGTTCAGGACAAACTGTTTGAATTTAATTTTTTTGTGGTATTTGCGAGAGTTTCATTTCAGAGATTTACACAGCTGGATTTTTTCAAGGAAATGAAATAACATTACTTTTTTTCTAGTTAAGAAATAGAAATCAAACGTAGGTAATAAGCACGTCCATTTTCATTCAATATTTTATACACTACGTAGTGCTTACCATGCATTGTTAAGTGTGTTATTAAAATGTATATAGATTATTATATAATTGTGTTATTAAAATATTAAGATAATAGATAAAACTTTATAAATAGGTGTATGTCAGGGAAAACGATGAAATATTTCACTTTTTTTTGAATTTGCGCCTTGATAGCGTTTATAAGATACAATTTACAAACAAAAATTAAATCAGTATGATAAATGACTTATTTTTCCTTTTCGGAAGAATAATTCTTATTTGAACTGAATTTTCATATAGAATTCATATAATACATAGTTAAAATACTTTTTCATTTCGTTCCAGACTGTGTTTCGGGTATACAATTTAGTTTGACCATGCAAGAATTCTTAGAATTTGACATGAATGGAAAATTAATTGTAAACTTTGTATTGCCACCTCTAGGTGGTAATCATATTATAAGAAGCTACAAGGTTTTATTTAATAAATATATTTCAAAAATGCCCTTTATTTCTATAATAACTAATTCTGCTTAAATACATTTTAGATTATGCCAAGAAATCAAAATGCTCTGGCTATTGTGAATGCTGTGTTTAATATTAAATTAAATTTTGGGACCAATATCATTGAAAAGGCTATTATAGTTTACGGAAACATCTCGGGTCAATTTATTCACGCCATGCATACTGAGTACTATTTACAAAGGAAAAATATTTATAGCAATGAAACAATACAAAATGCTATTAATATTTTAAATACAGAAGTTATACCTGACGATGATCCTTCCAAACCCTCACCTCAAGCTCGAAGAAAATTAGCTGTTGGACTATTTTATAAAGTAATTTTATGGTTAATATTTCCTGTGTTGTGAGCAACTATAAGCTTATATTCTAATTTCTCGATCGATTTTCAGTTTATTCTCAGCATAACCCCGGCTAATTTGACGAACCCTAGATTCCATTCTGGAGGACTACACTTAACGCGACCTGTATCTAGAGGGGAGCAGCATTTTCAAACAGATAGTTCTCTTTTCCCTCTTAACCAACCAGTGGACAAGTTGGAGGCGATCATTCAAGCATCTGGTGAAGCGCAATACGTCAATGATATACCTACCATGCCGAATGAAGTGTTCGGTGCCTTCGTGCTTTCCACAGTACACAATGGAGATGTTGACGTTATTGATGCAAGCGATGCTTTGGTATGTATAAATTCAGTTTTTGTAATAGGAAAAGAAATAGCAACTATTTTGTGGTTAATATGTTACTTTTTTATATTATGTTGGTATTAAATAAGTGTATGAAATAAGTGGTTACCATATTTTATCCATACCAATGCCAGAGGTAACACTCGCGCTTTGCTACACCTTCAAACTCATTGTCACTACACTATTGAACATCATTCTATGGGCCTATGAGTAAACTTAAAAATTATTTTAAAACCGCAACGTTTACGCCCAATCCGGAGCAAAACAAACTGTGCAATGATAATACATACATAGACCTTAGTATGTTGAATATCACACAGTTTCTAGCAACACATATAATTATACAGGCGTTAGTACTCGAGTAAATAAGTTAACAAATAGCCGTACCCACACTTCACGCTTACACCTACTAATGGCTGGATCATTATCAACACTGAATCTTCAGTACCAGCAAAAATGATCCCAAGGAATTGTAGTCTGCTCTAAGGTAGGGGTGCCTTCCCAGTCGGAGCTATCCAATTCAAGCGAGGTTAAAAACGCCGTACCCTACATTCTAAACCGTAAACACATCTAAATATTTTCTTTCCCAGGCTAAAAATGGCGTCATAGCTTTATTCACAGCAAAGGATATACCAGGTAAAAATTCTTTCATATTTCCTGGATATCAATTACAAACTGAAGATGAGGAAATTTTAGCGGATATAAACATTAAATTTTATGGCCAGCCTATTGCAATCATTGTAGCTGATACACAAGATTTGGCTGTTAGAGCTGCAAAGTGGGTGAAAGTAACCTATAAGAATGTAAAAAATATACCCCCTGTTTTAACACTTAACCAGGCAACGAAAGATAGTACTAGAGTTGTCGCCGGTAATTTTATCGCCCCGATAGGAAAAGGGGAGAATGTGACAAAAGTTATTAAAGGCACGTATGAAATAGGAGGTCAATATCATTACTATATGGAAACTCTTAGTTGTTTGGTAGTACCTGTTGATAAAGGCTTGGAAGTATACGATTCAAGTCAGTGGATAGATTTAACACAGACTGCAATATCTCAATCATTGCTTATACCTGTTAACAAGTAAGAAAACTTATTATACCTACTTTGATAATAACGTTGGATGGACTTCTTAAACTGTTCGGTTATATCCAAGGGTGCTCGTGATGGTTCGTCGTCTGGGCGGTGCATTCGGCGGGAAGATATCACGTAACGTACAAGTAGCCTGTGCCGCCGCTCTTGTCGCCCACAAACTAGACCTACCATGCAGATTTATATTACCATTCGAAACCAATATTACCATGGCTGGAGGGAGACTGCCGGCCCAGTGCATATATGAGGTTGAATTGTTATAACTACACTTATTTATTGATTATTTTATGTTAATTAAATCATGCCGTGTCTATTTGTTCTTTTCTTTTGCAAACAGGTGGGTGTAAATGACGAAGGTATAATCCAGTATTTGAAAGCCGTAATCAATGAGGACTGCGGTTGCTCACAAAACGAGAATATATTAATATACACTGTGGAAGGTTTTGGTAGCTGTTACAATAGGGCTTTCTACGACTTAAAAACATTCAACGTACGAACTGATACTCCGTCAAATACTCTTATGAGAGCTCCTGGTGAGTTTTTTTATAAAAAATAAATTCAAACGAATCAAATAAAAAATCCTAAAGATTAATTTATGCTTCTAGGAACCTTAGAAGGTATTGCTTCAATGGAAAACATAATTGAGCATATCGCTTATGAGCTGCACAAAGATCCGACGGATGTTCGACTAGTTAATATGATAGACAAGGACCTTCCAATTCTTATAGAAAAATTAAAAATTATAGCCGACTACAAAAACAGGGAAGAAAATATCAAAATATTCAATCAAAACAATAGATGGATAAAGAGGGGAATTAGTCTAAATATAATGCTCTTCCCCGTTGAATATTATGGAAATTATTCAGCATTGGTTTCAATTTACAGAGGCGATGGAACAGTGACTATTACTTCTGGTGGTATAGAGATGGGTCAAGGCCTTAACACCAAGGCAGCACAAGTTTGCGCGTATACACTAGGAATACCACTAGAAAAAGTTTCAGTGGTACCTAGTTACTCTTTTGTATGTAACAATGAGGTCTTTACGGGGTCCAGTATTGCTAGTGAAAGCGTTTGTTATGCAATAATTAAGGCTTGTGAAATAATTCAGGGAAGATTGAAACCACTGAAAGATGAACTAAAGAATGCTTCTTGGTTAGAACTCATACAAGAGGCAGCAAAGAGGGAGATAGACCTATCAGCCAAATTTATGATGACTGATATGGAACCTGATTTACGGAATTACAGCGCATATGCTGTTGTGGCCTTGGAAGTTGAAATGGATGTTCTAACGGGAAGCTTCGAAATACTCAGACAAGATCTTTTAGAAGATGTTGGGTTGAGTACTAATCCTAAGATTGATGTTGGACAGGTATTAGAATGGATTTTTTATATATGAATTTAGGTACAAGAATTGTTTTTGAATTAAGTACATTTTACATTCAGGTGGAAGGGGCTTTCATCCAGGGTTGCAGTTACTTCACAAAAGAAAAGTTGATATACGATAAAACGACGGGAAAATTACTTAACAATGATGCCCTGCACTACGAAGTTTCTCTTGCTAAAGACATTGCAATTGACACAAGAACTTATTTTAGATACAATTCCAAGAACCCTGTGGGCGTACTAGGATCAAAATGTAATTATAAGCTTTTACATTATTTTTCCACACTAGATTTATATTTTTGTTAAGCTCATGTGCATATCCAAAGGTCTCAAACAATTATTATCTATTTTCGTTCTGTTAATTACGATTCAAATAATAGTATAGTGGAAGACTTTTATTACTAGACTACTATTTCAGCTGTCGGAGAAATGGGTATATGTGTTTCTCATAGCATTATATATGCTTTGAGAAAATGTATTGTGGAATCAAGGAAGGACTCAGGTTACGATGTTTCAAAATGGATGAATGTGGGTAAGTTATAAAAACTTCTATGATGCTAACATAGGATACTGTAGGTATAGTTGTTAAATAATATTAGCTCCTTTGAATATCATTCCATAGCTTGTTATATAAATTACTAATTCCAGATAAATTACTGTAGGTATTGGTACTTTAACGGAACAGACATTGTTTCGTAGAGTTACCGTTACGAAGTGTAGATCATAATAATTAAAATATTTAACACCACATTGTCGTTAATGTAAATAATGTATCTTTTTTTCAGATATTCCCCTTACAACAGAATCAATACTCACTGCCCTGGATGTAAATCCTTCTGAATTTATTCTTAGCTAAGTATTTACTCTCTCACACTCATCGTACGAAACGTAGCCGTTGAAGACTACTTCACGGGATCTTCTGTGAGAGGGTGGTACTTCCCCGGTCGAGCCAGCCCATGTTCGAGCTGTAGTAACTTAACCACAGCTAGGCTCCACCACCATTTCACTTACCTATCTCTTTCCGAATAGCTTTCATTACTAAAAACAATTATAGCCGAACGTGTTTCAATTAGTACCTGTTTTCCTTTTCCATTTCATACACAAAATTCGGAGGTTATTGGTATTTAAAAAAAAAAAGATGTTAAAATGACAAAAAATCTATTAAACTGCATAGAAATAATAATTAACCACTATCCTTAACACACTTTAAGGTAAATAAGTCTTTATACCTATGAATGAAAACCACGACACAAAAAATATTAGATAACATTAGTTATTATCATTTGATATATGTATCTTTTTACGAAACAATACACGTGCTTAAAAACTTTTTATCGGTAGTGTAGGTATGCACTGAGTGCAATTTTATAATTGTTTTTTAGTGGTCATATCAACATTTTTTTAAGAATAAAATATATTGCCCAAATTTGAACATACATGAAATAAATACTTTAAATAATTAATTGAAGATAAGAAGTATTTTCATTTAAATTAAGTAGATTGTACCTGATATTAAGAAGATTTCTTAAAACATTAACCATAATGAAGAAAGTAATATAATAAAATTGGTATAAGGATATTTATAATAAAAATACCTCAGAATTATTTCATAGTAGATTATTATTATGAATAAATAATAATGTTTCCTTAGTACAAGTTTACTGTTGCATAAAAAAAACAGCCAAAATCAATCATACAAAAATAGGCCTTAATTACATTAGGCTTCGTTTTAGGCCAAAACATTATAGAAAAACCAATTCCTAGTAATCTAACAACAAACTAAATGAAAAAAAAACTAATTAATAAATACTTAGTAATAAATTATTATAGATCCTATACAACCTAATTTCGTTTACACTACAATACATAGTACAAAGGAAATCATAGAAAATAGTTTTTATACAGTAATATCAACAGTTTTTTTTTGTTTTGTGTTATGCAAAAAGTGCAATCAAATATCACCTGCTTATATAATGATGATCACGCGATTTTCGACCTTAACGTACTTAATATAAAACCTTCTAGGAATTTAAAGAAAATATACAAATATTCGTAGCTATAGAGGCCATAATCGCGTAATGATAAAATCACGTCTGAAGCGAAATTGGTCAAAAAATTTATCATTTATGGACAATTGTACCTACGATATATAAAACTACGTCTAATTATTAGCCAGTTTCATTAAAACTTTACAGTTAGCCCGTTAACTACGAAATACAACGAAGAAGGCATTATTATATACAAAATGAAAATATATGTAGAGTACTTTTAATATTTGTACAGTAAATAAGAATATTTGGCATTAAGAATCTATATAGCCTTATCCGTTGTATTATTCCGTGCGAGACTACAGTGTCCAAATGATATTCTATTAAAGGTAACTAAATAAATTCATGAAGAACTAACTCTGAACTAACATATACATATATATTTACACTAACAACAATTAGTATATAATGATATATAAACACCATTGATTATTACATAACATTTAGCTGCTATTCGGTAGTGAACGAGATTCGTTGCTGATCGTAATTTCCATTCAGTCAATATAATTATTAATTTCGTCAGATCTGGAACTACATTATTATTATGATTAAATACACAGTATATAATAATTTTAAATTATAAACATAACCATAATTGTACAATTCTTTACATTATCGATTAGAATTTAGACCAAAAAATATATATTAATTATACGTGAGTACCAACATTTTGATAAATTAAAAATAAACGAAAAAAAAAATACACCGTATATTATTGTACCATAATAATATATCATACGATAACAATACATTGAATATCATATCATCATGTCATATCATATCATTATTTAATTACGAATACATATTGATAATTATTTAATCATTAATAACTAAAAATCTCGGTACCGGTTATATATAACTAATGCAGTATCTTTGGATAACTACTTCATCTATAGTAATCTATCGCTAGTCGTTTCTACATAGCATTTAATATACCCTGCACATATGTATAAGGAGATAATTACGTGATATACTACAGGCACTGGAAATGATTTGAATAACAGACTATATAAAAAAAACTTAATAATAAATGGTAGCATAAAAGAAATACAATCAATATTGGTTGGAAACTATGAAATAATATCAATTAATGTTATTTTCAGTTGATATATGATATGAATTAGCATATTCATATAAGTGCAATATAAGGCAGACCCTGGCTAAAGCTGGGAAATTGCCAGGTAGAAGAAGATATGATATGAATAAAATTTTTACTGTAATATATCACGTAACTATATTGTAACTACACCAACTGTCGTCTAGACTGCATTTAGTGAGTAATTCGCACACTCTAAGCACGTCAAGCGTTATAGCGACCTCGTACTAAAATATTATATTATGAGACTCATTAAAATGACTCAATAACTACAAAATATGAGGTATTTAACTATGTTAGCAAGTAATGCGGTCGTTTAAGGCGCGTCTCACAGATAGTTGTTTTTATATCGAAGCGTTTTACAATTATAAACCCTTAGGTACATTGTCTTAAAATATTTTTCAAAATCTTGTAGTATAATGGATTTTATTGTGAATTTCAAAAATGTTCGCCTTTTATATTTGCCTGTATGAAAGTAATTTATGTGTGATTGCAAAAATACTATCAAAATGCAAACCTTATTATGTCGGTCGTTTAAAAAAACGCTACTAATAAACGCCCGTTTGTAGGACACCTTACAATGACCGCATTACTTACATCCTAGATCACGCAACATCCACATGTCTCTTCTTATCTCTATGGTCGGGAGTTGATTTCAATATATCTGGCTGTCCGTGTGATACGCGGTCAGCTGAACTTAGAGTGAGGGTAGCATTCCTGTCTGATAGCGTCATAGTGGTTGCGTGTGAATTGAGGGTGTTGTGAGGGTGCTGAGGGTGTGAGGGTGTAGGGTGCGGTAACGTCGCCGGCTTTCGTATAGAGCGGTGGCTGTTGTTGCGGGTGAGGGAGTTCATTTGAGGCGTCCCCGGCATTGTTGTTCGGACGTTCTTGTAGTCAGCTATGAGATGAGTTAGCTCCGCCATCTGGAAATTATTAGACCAAATTATATAAAAAATATACTTAACATTTATTTTTTAGCTTTTTATAAGAACTTTTCGAATAAGAATAAATGAAAAAAAATATGATTTTATTATATACAAAGTTTTTATGAAATTAATGTTAAGTTGCTTTGACATGTCTAAGAAAAATTTTGTGCTTGATGACAAATTTAAAATACTTAAACATATAAACAGACTTCCGAATATACAAAACCAACGTAAAAAATATAAAAGAGTATTTTATATCCTTTATTATAATAAACAAACAAATATATTACCTTAGGCTTATTGAGACTGATCACCATCTTATGTACCGGCGTGTTGGCGTCTTCACCGTCTATCAACATCATTAGGTCGTCCTGGAAACATAACAGATATGTTTTATTCATGTGTATTCTTGGGTATGTGTGTATATGCGTTTGTGTACGTGTTTGTGCGTGTGTATGAAAATGAAAATATTACCAGCTATGACTCAATCTTAACAGGGAACACAATTACAAACATAACAATATTTTGCTGAAGTGATAACATGGCGCGATTTCCAGGGGCGTCCACACTAAGCGAGCTTGTGTCGTGGATGCCTTATTTATGATTAGCTATAACAAGTTTCACCTACGGTAGATGAAATGGTATGTGTGTGTATATACTTATGTATGTGTGTGTGTGTACCTGTAATCCCCCGAACAGTCCAATGGAAGCCAGCGGGTATCTGCCCAACACCGCCATAGAAGACAGCTCCAATACAGACACTCCTTCCTCAGACACCACGAGCCATGATAGTGAGAGCTCAGGCTGCTTTATCTGAAGAGGACATAATATGTTATTGAATCTGATTTATTATTATAGTTGTTACATACTATACAGCCTTTGTGAAATAACTCGATTTAAGAAAAATAAATGAATCTAAAACTCTTATTAACTCTTTACTTATGCACAGATAATAAAGTTGTGATTTATGTATAAATTGATATCATATTAAAGATCTTTTCTGAATGCATTTCGATCGGTTATTTTCCTTGTCCTTAAATTATAGGTGTCAGTAAGAAAATCTCAGGATTAAATTATAGAGTAATATTTGCACTAACAAATTGATATGTATGATATATATCATAATATTACAAAGCTATTTGTATAAACGAAAAGATGGCTCAATGACATTAAGACATTATGTTATTACTGTTCTATATAATTCTGTAGCTCTTGAGTTAGTAATAAACAGACTCACCCTTGCTTGGAACAGTGTGGCTCCGAAGAACGGCCATTTTCTGGTACAATTCAGATAAATACGAACACAATCGGCGGTACTTCGACCTTTTAAAGCCACCCATTTCAAACGGAGTTTTTCTTCTAGCTCCCTGTAAAACATAATTGAATATTTTAGAAAAAAATCTATAAAGCTATATGTAATATAGAAGAAGAATATTTATTGCTATTTAAAGTTCATTGTATTTTATTTTTAAATGCACTTAAAATAACAGACGAAAATAAATCCTATTTCATTAAATATTGAGTTTATTATTATTAAACATTGCTTCATGTAGGAAGTTATTTTTTACTTTTCTCTTATGTCGCTTTCTTGGAGCTCAATTAAAATATAATAACACGTAATGCAACAAATGTCAGTGTACATGTTTATATAAGAACGGTAATTAATATTAAGGGGTATTACCCCTGTAAATAATTTTTTGTAAACTTAATTTAAGTTTAATTAATTAGATATCAATAAATTCCAAGGACCGAATTCTTCCACATTTTTATCAATACATTCACAAGTATGTTACGCGACGGTGTTATGGTGATAGTAAGCTAAACAATAAGAGAATTACGGTGTAATCGCAGTTCATGCTATAACTTCTAAGTAAAATTGTTCTGCACGGGTCTAGCTCAACAGTTCTTAGTCAACAGAGTTTTTAGTTTTATATTTCTTTTAATGTGTTACTATTTGTTCACCCTTCGTACAATGTGGTCGAATCAATTACTTGTAAATACTGCTGAAATCATAATCCTTACCAATATTATAAATGCGAAAGTAACTCTGTCTGTCTGTCGTCTGTCTGTATGTTACGCTTTCACGCCTAAACCACTGAACTGATTTTAATGAAATTTGGTATAGAGATAGAGTTGATATTCAGAAAGAACATAGGATAGTTTTTATCCCAGACTTTTGAAAGGTTCTCTTGGAAACGCGATATAACCGAACTCCACGCGGGCGAAGCTGCGGGCGGAAAGCTAGTTAGTACTATTTATATCTTCAATAATAAGTATATATTCTTCCTAATACCTGAGTTCCTCGTTGTTAAGCCCAGCCCTGTACCGATAAGGGTAGAACCTCTGTGCGAGCGGTTGGTGATGCTGGTGATGATGATCACCCGCATCCAGCTGAGCCATCAACGCTCCCAGTTCCGCTGCCAGCTCGCGAGACACTGGGAACCTACCCGCTACCACTGAGGACACACCACATACTATTAGTATTAACGAACCATGTGAAATGAATATATAGGAGTCTTGGAATACCAAAATAGTGACAAATATGTTGAAAATCCTTTCATTCATAATACATTTGGCAGTTTGGCAGTTTTATTCATTAAAGTGAAACTAATCACGTGATCACGGGTATACACGATGAGAAAAGTACCCGAAACGTCGAGAGTATGTAGTTTTTTCACAGAAAATAAACCGTGTAGTATATCCGAAAATATTAGTTTCATTTAAGTGACTTATTAATCTTAAAATATGTTTTTATATAACTACATATAACAAGGTGTACTTCTATTTAATATTTTGAATGATTTATATTCAACATATACCGTTATTATATTATGTTACCTTGTTGATTCACTTGATAACACAGAAGCAGTCTCTCCTTGTCCGTTTCGGTTCGCACTGAACTCTTAAAGTACAATCTATTTCGGTACGTCAGTCTAATAACTCGAGAGTTCTCGAACTTTCCAGAGCCTTTTTCTCTTAGAGCCGTCTCCCATTTAGATATAACATCACACAACTGAAACAATATTTAATAAAAATTAATAAAAAGTATGTATTAAAAAGATTTTTACAAAATTCTCTAACAGTATGGATATTACACAGAATCAAGTATATATTATTTTCCTTTTCTTTTATTCTCTTATTAATTTCGTACTAACCACTACAGATTAAATAAAACTTGGTGTGACGAATGTTAACAATGTTATAAGTTTAAGTTAGTAATGTTCTCAAATAAGTGACTATGTATTGTCTTGTTGAGAATAAAGATCTTTAAACCTTATTAAAATTAATCTATTTATAATAGGTAATAATTTACTTCATAATAGTAAACTTGTTAGAGTTGTACAATTCCTGTCGCTAGAGGTCTATAGTGTGGTTTTACCTTTTTATCAGGTTGTATGTAATGTTCTAGATCTTTCTCTATGGGGTCGTCGCTGAATAAGGCGAACCCTGAGGCAGATGACTCGCGGCAACCGAGCTCTGTACTGAGAGTCGATAGGAACTCCTCTACCGTAGTGGAACCGTCGAAACTTATTACCTGGAACATATACATCATATATATTAGAATTAATCTTAATTATATTTACTTATAAAATATCGTACATAGAGATTTTATGATACGAGGCAGTACGGAAATATTTCGCTTATTAAGAGATACAGAGAAGTTACAAGTGAGACAAACAACCCAGTTGAACAGCCATGATACATATTTGGTATTCACGAGTCATATGTCATAGAGAAGTATGTAGTAATGTAGTTATAATATTCTAGATATAGTTCATTTCAATAGCAATTGGCAATCTTGTAAACAAACTTGATCAGCTGATATTGATAAAGACTTGTCTATGCCCCTAGTGATGTGAAACTCTTCAAAATACTTTAAGGTTAATTATTGTATTAAAGTGTTAATATAAAAAATACTTCAATTTACTAGTGAGCCTTTTTAATGAGTTTAGAGATGCAGAATGCAAATGAGAAGTTGTTTGCATCCCAATAGCACTAAAAACCCTCGATTCCTTGGGAAACCAAGGACCTAAGTAATAATGGTTATAAATATCTTTATTTTAAAATTTAAGACATGTCATTTACAACATTTATAGTTGAACTGTTGGACTGCCTTTAATAAAAATGGCGATTTTTGTTTTTTGTATTTGTCTCTGTTTTGTTTTGTTTGTTTTTATTATCATCATTTGCTTTTACTAACATTAGTTATAAGGTTGATTTGTATTACTATTATTTAAATATGGACTATGTCTGAGATAAATAAATTAAATTAAAAATTAAAATTTAAGGAGAGACAGTGTTCCCCCGGTGAGCTATACATGTCTAAGTTTCAACGTAAAGTAAAGGGAGTCGCGGCCAAAAAGTAGTTCATTGTGTAATTATCACGTACACCACAATTTTTCAAAGACAAATAGACTTTGATGAGTAAAAAATTATCGTGTCAATTTGACAAATGCAATTAATTTTAGTGTTCAAAATAATTTTATGAAATAAACATATATACAGGGTGACTGGTGAATTACTATCAATATTTAAGGAGAATACTCGGTACATGATTCTCATTCGAATTATGTAAAAAAAATAGATACTTAATTTTTGACCAAATTTCCGTATAAATAAATAAAGTGTGGACACGTTCCAAGTGTTCCAAGTGTGGACGCGTGCGGCGGCGTGCTGATACAACACCACGCCGCCGCACGCGTGTGTGTGTATGTGTGTGTATACCTAATCTGTAGAGTGTTCACACGATGCGTAATTAATTACATAACTTTTGGTTAACTTTACTAAGAAGTTTATTAATTTTTATTTTGTCATATATGATCGTCAAATATCACGTCCTCAAGTATCGATAGTAATTCACCAGTCACCCTGTATACATTTGTTTAATGATGAAAAGATTGTTACAAACAGTGGTGGGTTCATTGGGTTGTAATTATTATCAGAACTGATATTCAATTGTACGTAAGAATGGAGTAATCGTGGTCAGTTGTTTGTTTAGAATTGCCAATTTCTATTGAAATGGACTATAGAAAGATTACGAACATAAATTTAAAAATGGAATGCTTTGCTTGATAGTTCGTTATTAGAAAATATGAATATCATCCTACCTGATACGTATTATTCAGCATATGAACAGGTATAGCGTGAGGCAGACAGTGATGATAAGGATTCTTCAGTAGTATAGACAGTACTTCCATCCTCGATGGTTTGTCTGTTCGCCCTCCGTTTCTCAAAGTCCTCTCCAACGCACGTGAACAATACGCCGCGTATTTACCGCATTCCGTTCTGAAATTAGTGTTTACATATTTAATTTCAATGTACTATAAGTTTTTTAACTTTATTAAGATATTTTTTCTGATTTTGACAAATAAAATGTTGTTATATGTAGACGTAACACGTGAACTAACATAAAATTTTTCCTTAGATGAACCTTCCCATACACTATTTGAAGGCTGAAGACGCATTTGTATGAAACATTTTATTTCACCTGACTTCGTTTGTATATTAAAAATGTGTAACAGTTAAATATTTCAAAACCTCGTATACTCACTTAGAATCTGAATGTCTACTCAGGTGTAGCTTCAAATACCACAATAGCCTGTTATTTCTGGGAACAAACAAACTGACAGCCAGAGCTAACAACTGCCAGCCCTGGACGAAGCTATACGTCGGCGGGTTGCTTTTACAATCCACTGATAGTAATGGCGCCTGCAAAATCCAAAACTCTTTATATTATATATATAGAATATTACTGTTTCTATAATGTAAATGATCTACAGTTAGAAATAATTACGTATATTGTTTGCTTTTCTCATATGATAATATGGAACTGTGATGTTTATGCGAACGTTTCATTGGCTTCTGGATGTGATTTTTACCATACATTGAGGTTCATACAACATGACAAAAGGATTTGGTCTATTCGATGTGAACATTACTTACGATATTACTACATAAAATGACAATGGATGACCTTGTGATGTGCGGCAGAGCGTCTGTGATGCACACTTGTATTAGGTATGATTTGGTTCAAATATCATGTCTATACATTTGACAGTAATGTTGTTGTTACTGACACTTATGTCACAGACGTTCGTGATAAGTGTCACACGTCGGACATTCGAGACTAGTGTTGAATGTCACCGACACCTCACACTAGTGTCTCATGTTACTAGTTTGATACTCATTAGACTCTCGATATTTGTTTCGTACGTCACAGACACTCGACATTTCTGTCGCACTCCGACCTGTCGTTACCTGTATCGAACTGGGCGAGCCTGCCGAGTTCTGCGGCAGATCGCTTTTGTTGTCGCTGCCGACTGAGGCGCCCGTGTCGCAAGTGAACAACGACTGCGTGGCGCATAGCAGCAGTTGCTGTACAAATGAAATGTTGGTGGTGGGGACTTTATGATCGTATATGATTTTACATTGGTATGGAAATTCCGCGTGTGTAGGTGTTATTTGAGCGTGAAGTTTAAGGCGTATTAATGTTCTTTAGTACTTTTTTATCGATCCCTATATATGTGGGTTTACATTAATATCATTAGTTTATAAAAGAAGTGAATAGGGAACCAATAAATGATAATACAACACAAACTTTTTCTTTATAAACTAATTTGAAATAGGTTTTTTTATCCTCTCTTTGGAATATTCGACAAAAATATTTGTATATCGTATTAAAAATTACATTTAAAATGAACTTGAATGCAAGTGTAAAATAAATACGACCTTTTTATGTAGACCTATCTTATTGAGTCCTTGAAATATTCAAATATTCGCTCATTTATTTTCACTGTACTTTTTTCATATTAGAACCTTTTAATTTTATAAAATGGAAACAAATTTCAAAAACATTTTCCAAAAACCAAAGACCTACTCTTAATATTTTTATCAGTATTTATTATATTTAAATTTTTAGGACAAGATGTACATACAATATCCTTGAAGATTCTAAATTTAAATAATTGATATGTATTTAAGTGTGAGTTAGATGTTTAATGAATTTACATTAAAAATATAACAAAATATCTAATCTATTTTCTATGTGTCTAAACCTTAACCCACTATATTTGTGTATTGTACAATGTGGTGGTAAAATAAAGTACAACTGCATAATGGGAAATATACATAATATAAATAATGTATAAATATTATTTACCTACTTTTTTAAATTAATTTAATGATATTAAGTACTCTTTGGTAATCTTTGAATTGTTTAACTGATTTTTGATACTTTTGTGCTAAGATTTATAAATGAAAGACAAGAAACTTTGTATTTGGTTGGTAACATGTGGTAAGATTCCTGAGTTAATTTTTAGAGTCACTTATTAAAATACATCTATAAGGATAATATTAATGTGAATAGTTGCTTTACTAACCATAGAAAAGCAGGATGAAGTAAAATTTCATTGATTAAATGTCCCAATAAGGTACAATGACCATTTTTTCTTGAAATAAGATACATTTAGGGCTATGTATCTTAGATACATAGCCCTACTTTAACAATATAATTAATACATAAATGAGATACATCTATACTATATCGATAATATATAATACCATTATGCAGTTATACATTTCCAACTATACCTTACTATATCTTTACTTACCTTAATATAAACTAAACACCAATATATAAATAAATAATATATAAAAAAATAGTTGCAACATCAACCTTTTAATACAAAGGAGTTCATAGTGCGAAGGAGCTAGCTATGACAGTTCATGAATGATATATACTCATTCCCTAAAACTATGGGGGAGCAAAACATTCCTGGATATAAAATTCAAAAATAAAAAAATAGGGAAAATTTACACCAACATTCCATTTGAAACTGCGACGTAAACAACCGCATTTTTCGTCATGGCAACATTTATTTATACATAATAAAATTCGAAATTTAAAATATTTTCTTTTGCAGTTTTATATTTGATCGCCATCAATGTTGCCAGAACTTGAAGATCAAGTTGGAATAAAATCCCATGAAGGTCATCCTTTGTTTTTTATATATTCACATAATTTGTAAAAGAAGCCAATAGAAATGTTAACACACACAATTCCAAATTGATCAACCACGTGACATGAAGCCTCTTTACAGCGACACACAAAGCTGTACACTTTAGTTATGGCTTGTTAGTGTATATTTATTAAGGCAAAAAAATAATAATATTCCAAGCTTGTTCGAAATTTAAATTTGTGCTCTTAAATGTGACATATTTTTTTATGCTAACACCAAAAGCTTTAACTGTATTCAGACTAATTAGAGCACAGCTTATGTCTACGTTAGGTGCTTAACTACAATCGTGTACAGATAAGTGATAAGTTATAGGACATATGAGAAAAGCATAAAGCGTATCGCATTAAAGCTTACTTATATTAAGCTCATATTAATTACCCAATAGTTTTCATATTTTCAATCACCTTAGGAATTAAAAACATTTTAATCACATAATCGATTGACGTTTCATTCAATGACATATATGACGTATGCATAAATGACAGTTGCGAACGTCAAAACTAAATGTCATCTGTGCATTTTTTTTAACCGTTATACAAAGCGAAGCGAAGGCCGATACTCACGCGGCGTTTTGTTACCTGCACGCCGTGCTTTGTGTGCGTGCGAGTGCTCTGCTTGCACAGCGCGGAAACAAGTTCGTCTTGAAGCTCGCCGACTTCCAGACATTGTTGAAGAGCATTCTGAGCTAATACCACGTGGTAATCTATACCAGCGTGCTCTACAGCGACGGACATGAATAATTGGACGCACTGAAATCATACATACATATATTATAGTACTTATCAAAGAGATATCTTATTCTAGATGGTTGTATGAAAATTTAACAGCTTGTTTTTTTTTTATATAGAATATTCTAGGCGAATTAAAGAGGATTATGTATATGTACATATATATTTTTTGCTAATTTATTTCTAAATTAAAATTGTTGATTTAAAAGAGGTTTTGAGTTAGTACTACTTTAAAATTTTTCGATTAATTTTCCAGAAGTGAAAGATAGTATAATATACAGGGTGACTGGCAGTGGCGGCTGTACCTTACGTGCACTCGTGCGCTGAACCACTAATTCAAAAGATTTAAAAATTACAAAACATTACTTCATCTTTATTTTTAAATTACCATTTTAATATTTATTTTTTAAACATATAAAAACGTATAGAAAATTAAATTTCCTAATTATGGTCAAAACATTTGAGTGCTTTACTAAACTAATATCGTGCGCTTCGGCGAGCGCACGAGGACTGCTAATACATCTTGTATGAAATACGAATTATACGCCTGACGCGTGAAACAAACATAGTTCATAGAAATGTACCGCGCAATGAGTCGGTTCTCGAGCGCCGCACGAGCGGCCGAAGATTACCGAGAGCACCTGATGTATGACGAATTTGGCCATGAGTGACATCTCGTTATACTGTTTTGTTGCATTTTCTAATTTTAATATTTTAGTAAAGTGCACCACCGGTTCGATTACCCACCGGCCGCCACTGGTGACTGGTGAATTACTATCAATATTTAAGGAGGATACTCGGTACATGATTCTCATTCGAATTATGTAAAAAAAATAGGTACTTAATTTTTGACCAAATTTCCGTATAAATAAATAAAGTGTTGACACGTTCCAAGTGTTCCAAGTGTGGACGCGTGCGGCGGCGTGCTGATACAACACCACGCCGCCGCACGCGTATGTGTGTGTGTGTGTGTGTGTATACCTAATCTGTAGGGTGTTCACACGATGCGTAATTAATTACATAACTTTTGGTTAACTTTACTTAGAAGTTTATTAATATTTATGTTATATTAATTTTTATTTTGTCATATATGATCGTCAAATATCACGTCCTCAAGTATCGATAGTAATTCACCAGACACCCTGTATATATTTTTTAACTAAAATTAGATTTAATACATTATAAAAAATACCCACTTTAAATAGTTTTAATGCTTCAGCCTGTAGTGCCTCAGAATTTAATGAAGTCAGTGGCGATGTGATGTTTTCTTTGGAATATAAAAGCGTTGGATGCCTCCACAAAACGCAATCTAGAAAACAAAGTCGAATTTTGTAAGGCAAATTTGATAAAGTTTAATTGTTGCAGTATACAGTAAAAATATAACGATAGAACGTAAATAAATATTTGACCTGGAGGTAATTTTGTTTATATTTTTATCTAAATAACTTTTAGGAATTCTTTGCAGTGAATTTTTTCCTTTTTGAACTTTGACCGGATGAATAGCATTATGAGTAATCTTTTTTTACTTATTTCAGAAAAGAGCCCATTATATTTCTTGCTACCTTAACGTATAGTAAACATACTAGTATATAGCCAAAATTATCCTCTTGTATATATCATGAAATATATAGTATGGTTAAAGATCTTTATTCTCATAAGAACATACATAGGTTCCCTTACATGAGATTAAACAATGTTACACACATACATTAATATTTGATACATGGAATGGCTAGTACTACTTAATATTGTCTAATATATATATTTTAACTTTATTTTAATGATGATTCAATTAGAGAAAGTTTGAATTCCTTATTACTGATATTTGTAGACACATGATCGATAATAATTTTTGATTAAATTTTTATCACAGAGGTACATACTAGGATCTCCGTCAGTTTCCATCAGTTTCTGTATTAGTTGTTCAAAGTGCGTCCCCTGACTGAGTCCGCCGCCGCTCACCACAGTCAAATGATACAGCCACGAATCCTTGTCTGACTTGCTTTCAAATAATAAGTATGTGGGGCCCTGGAATATTTTAAAAATAGTATAAAAATATTGTATGATATGATATGTTAAAAAAATTTATTGATATTATAATAGTATACAGGGTGTTCTAAAAACTGTGTCAACCCTTAAAGGCATGTATAAATATAAGTATAAGCTTATTATAAAAAATAGTATAACTTAAAAAATATCAAGCAGAGGTCAGTTACAGTGGATAGGCTATTTAAATTTTAAATCGACATTATTTGAAAAAATGTTTCAAACATCTGACCCATACAAGGTCAAGGCACCGTATAGTCGCGACGGCGCATGCGTGGCCATTGACCGCAGGCGCCGGGCCGCAGGCGTTATTATTACTAATTTATTAGTATTTCGAATAGAGATTTGCAAGTTTAAAAATTAGGTATATCGATAAATATTTTATCGACATTTTCAATATTGCTATAAATAGTTATGCTTTTCACATTAAAATAATTTCATTTAAAATAACTTTTATTAATAATAAATATTATAATATGAAACTTCTTCAGGTAAATTAACTATGTTGTATTATTAGGATAAATCGTTAATCTATTTCTGTTAAAAATGGTGTTTTACAATCAAAAATAATACTAATGTTTGATATATCAAAATAAGTATCGAAATAATATAATATATGAATATTAAATATTTATTTATTGTTATGATTTTTTAAATATCGATATTTTCAATAATGTGAAAGTAACTTCGAGTCGTCACTAGTAGCGCAGCAGGTGTGATGACGCCATTGAGTCTCATCGTGTTATACCATAGGGTACAAACATTTGGTTACTCTACATTTAATAACCATTTAATATTTAATTTTATTATTTTTATTGAAGCGTTTGTAAATGTAAGTTGTTTGATTGTGTTCCATTTTCGATACTGATAACGCAGTTAAGGGGATTGACACAATTTTTCATACAGCCTGTATATATTTTGTGTGTAAATATGAATGATAGACACTTATACAAGGTTTTTTCATGAATCGGTGGACACGTGACAAAAACATACACAAACTTGACTTTAAATCATGAACTGATGTATTGGTAAAATATATTATATATATTTGAAATAATTAATGTTCGCATATTAGGAAATTAATGTGACAATTATAACGCCAACATGTTGAGTAGGTAATCATAAACTATAGTTGTATAAAAACTAACAACCCATATAAGCTTATATAGCTTTTAAATTTTATTCCATTTTCAAATTTAAGATTGTATAGAGTTTATATATGTGGGTCTGTGCGTGTGTGTGTGTGTGTGTATACCAACCCCAGTCAGCTGATGCTGCGGGTATATAGCGACGGTGAGGTTCCTTCCATCATCATTCTTTTCTTCAGAATCCGAGTCCGACACGTGTTCCACGTCCTCGACCCGAGCGTCACGCATGTTGATCTGTCCGGTGGGATTCTGGAAATATATATAATAAAGAGGTTAACATTTATCATATATGGCTAATATATCTCAATGTTTCGAACTAAGAAACATAGCTAAATAAAACTTTATTTGAATTTTAACTATAGAACTCTTTGGTAATTTTTTTTTTTTATGACGCAGGAAAACTCTTTTTACCGTCCAACCGGGCTTGGTGGGGCCGGAAGGGCAGGGCAGGCTTTTTTGAATTTCAATTTTAGAACTCTTTAATAACCTATTGTAGTATATTTTTATTTGTCATGTGTTTTACATATTAATTCACAAGAGTAATGTTGTTGTAATGAAGTATTTGATTGTTAACCTGATCGCCCGGAGACTTGAAGTACAGGAACATTTTCCCCAACAGGACGCACCAACTTTTCTTCGCGTGTCCGTTCTTAACTTTAGTCAGCCAGCCTTGTATGGTCGGCTTATTGTCTTCTTTGCTCAATAATAACTTTGTCGCATTACGTCTTTGGACATTCTGTTACATTAGAAATTTTTATGGTTTACCAACACAATAAGATTACGTACTTTGTGTATAAAAATATTTTATTCATAGTTTCAATTTGTTTTTTGTCATGCATTTATTTTTGACGAATTTTCATTTCTTAATCTAAATTAATCACTAATTTTAATTAATTATTATATAAAATCAATATTGCTTAACAACAATAAAAATTAATATGTATATGTTATCAGCAATTTAGTTTTGTTGATATCATGCTTATAATATAGTATTAACTAAATTACGTTCTTTGTAACGAGTTACACGCAACAATAAATCTATACATATCATTTGTTATCACTTGAATAACTTATAATAACCTGTAGAACTCTTATCCAATCCTCCATAGTAGCGATGCTATCGGCCGTGAGGTAGTAGGTTCGACTCCCGGTGAATATCTCGAAGGTGGCGCCACCGTCGTTCCTCGATATCTTACAAGCCTCGCCCAGTCCTATCTGCCCTTGAGGCTTGCGAGTCACGTCGGATGCTGACTTCCAATAAGACAATGTACCGTTCTTAAGAACGAACCTGTAATATTTATATTTCACAGCTGTAGATGATGATTTTGTATTAGGAAAATATACGGTAGACCTATAATAATTAAGCCATATAAAAATACATAGACATATTTGTGTATCATCAAAATACTATATTATTGAACCATTATTAAATATCTTTAAAAAAATGTAAATGAAATAAAAGAAGCCTTGTAAAAAAATTATCCTGAAGACAGACTTCTTAATCAGACAGAAAGGGTATAATAATATGTAACATTATTATATTCAGATTATTCTGGAGCGTGGTCCGGGAGAAATAATTTCTTCCTGAAAACCACGTGGCACGTGATCATGATGTGGTGATTTTGTTCCCTCGGGAGACCACCCTGTAAAGAGATACAGGCATTTTCCTGGAAAACCTTCCCGGGGGCATAACTCACTAAAGGGTGGAAATAACAATAAGGGTATCCTTTTGCACACACTAAATAATCATATATTGAGATGCGTATGTATATATTAAAATAGTTGAAAAGAGACTACTTATTCTTCATCTTAAAGTCGTTTACAATATCGTTTAATACAACCTTGGCCTACTAAGTTTATTTTAGGATTAAAATTATTGTAGTAAAATTCATCTCCTTTGTATCCCATGGATATTAGTCAAGACAATTGATGTACCATAAAAAAATTTCATTATTTCGACTATCAACTGATAATTATCAATTTTATAATGATAACAAATCACAAAGAATTTTCTTCAGCAGAAAAGAAATAGGTTACCTTGGATGTTTATTTGGTATTGTATTGTATGTATCTTAACCGTATTTGTATTGTATCTTCACTAAAAATAATTTATTGATGTGGAACTGCCTTACGAAAAACGGTTTTACATAAACCAATGCAAGATTTTAGTAATATACAAAATGGATACGATACAACAATAAGTGGACATTTGTATGTGACCACTTTAAGAGCTTAACAAAGTATTTATTTACATGATATGGTTCAGTTAAGTTGCGAGTTCTTGTCACTATGAATATATACAAGGTGACTAAAATAAAACAAACACTAATTCTATGTGATCACTATAAGAGCTTCACAAGGTAATTCTCTATAGTCTATATAGTGTATATAGTCTATATAGTCTCTATAGTCTATGTAGTCTATACACGGCCGTATAGTCTATACACGGCCGTGTCCTATTCACTCGTGTGTCCATACCATCTCTTCCTCCAAGTCTTAAGCTTCCCCCCCAGTTTCGCGAGGTGTCCGCTCTTCTCCAGCGCGTCATGTCTCCGCGGTGAGTCCCTCACGGCCACGCCCCCCGCCGAGACTCCGCCCCCTCCCTCGCAGGACACCGCGTCTGGTGGGATCGCGTAGTCATCCGACATACCGGATTCAAAGGAAGTGTCTGTGGAATACGGATATGGAAAAAATATGTAACTGAGTTTTCTTATATATCTTCTATATATATAAAAATGGATTGCTGTTCCTTAGTCTCGCTAAAACTCAAGAACGACTGAACGGATTTATCTTATCTTAGTCTTGAAATGTTCGTGGAGGTTCAGGGAAGGTATAAAAGATGAAAAAAATTGATTCATTACTGGGAAAACCATAAAAACAGCCCTTTTCTATTTCCCATACAAACGTTTTTTTTGACATTAGATTTGACAACTAACTAAAATGTCAATCATTATGGCTTACAGGTAAACTCCAAAAATATAAATAAAAAAACGTAATAGATATTTCTTGATTATAGGGCGATACGAATTTCGCCAGGTCTTCTAGTATATTATATATTTCTCAGGTCAGGGTATTTTCTTTTCCGAACCGGTGGTAGTGTCTCAAGTGACCATCAATAAGAAAGTGTAATGCTTCTATTTTGAATAAAGTTATTTGAGTTTGAGTTTATGCGGGGTAGAATGGAGAACCGACGATGGGCTTTTGTTTTTTTTAGTTTCGATGTGACTTTAGCTGTTAGCCATAATAGATTTCACAGCGTCACCAGGAGGGTAAAATCCAACATCATTATGCATTCCCAGACGGTCACCCATCCAAGTACTGACCGCACCCGACGTTGTTTAACAAGATGACCGGACAAGAACCGATGTATTCAACGTGGTATGAACGTTGGGAGGGCGATTCGCATTTTTTTTCAGAGCTCAACAAAGACACAAATACAATGACTTTAATTAACATTACATTTTATACATGCCAGTATTATGTTCGTGTTATGATTATGATAAGTGAACTCTATGGTGAAATTAATCACGTAGAATCTTTTACGCAAGCAAAGGACGTATTAAAATAAATCTTAATATTAACTGACCTCTAGTTTTGCTCTGTTTGCTGGGTGATCCACTGCTAGATCTTTTAGCTGGACTCAAACTAGAGCTGGTTTTGACGCTTTTAGATGGACTGCTGGCACTGAGACTCGTGTCCGAGGAACTACATTGACCGTTGTTTAAAGCGGACGTCTGTTGTATAGACGCTGGCAGAACACTCGTTAAGTTTATATTGTTAATAGTAGATGGCTGGCCTGAAATATTATATGTTTATTTATTTATTTATTTTGCAATATTTGTATACATTATATATAGAAAGTGATATTGTGAGAAGAAATGACGAATCTGATATAAATAATTTACGTGTTTAATAACTTTTATTGTGAAGAATTCGGAAGTTGACTATATATATATTTATTTATTTTATTTAAGTCATTTATTCTCTCTTCACAAAATACTTAATGCATAAACCAGTTAAATGTTGTCATAGCGATAGTTAAGTCCTACTAATATTATAATTGCGAAAGTTTATGAGCGTGTGTGTATATTTGTTACTTCTTCACACTCAAACGGCTGAACCGATTTTGATAAAATTTTGTATACAGGAAGCTGACGTCCAGGAATAACACATGGGGTACTTGACATCCGGGAAATCTCGGAAATCCTGGAAATCCGCGTGTAACACCGCGGGGCGAAGCTAGTATAATAATAAGAGATTGACGATGTAATCGCAGGTCGCGATTTAGCTTCTAAGTAAACTTGTTCATACTAAACGGTTCTGACTCAGCAGTACCGTGTGAACAGACTTTTTAGTTTTATATTTCTTTTTATAATATTATGCCACTATTTATTCACCCTTCATACAATATAGTAAAATCAATTAATTGTTTACCACAATTTACCACTTTAAAATTTAATTCCGTCATTTAAATTTCGGTTTCATTGCAACCACCGATAATATTATCGAAATATATACATAATTAACTATTAACTAGTATACTCTAACAAAGTTAGTGAAAAGATTGCCTTTTAAAATACCTAGAACTTCAAATGATATATTAATAGATATTAGTTGAGATAGATGTATATTTATTGTACCATAAACAGGATTATGATGTGGCGTGTTATGTACTGTGACTCCCATAGATTCTTCACCGTCACTGGAATCGTCAGAAGAATCACCCGTGAATGGCATTGAACGGATCTGACTTGCACGCTGGAAATTAAACAAAAAATAGTTAAATAATATCTAATTCTCATATCTAATATAGATTTCTATGTAATTAAATAGCAATGAAATTGTATAGACAAATAATTGTACTTAATCATATAAAATTTCATGTATATACAGGGTGACTGGTGAATTACTATCGATATTTGAGGACGTGATATTTGACGATCATATATGACAAAATAAAAATTAATATAACATAAATATTAATAAACTTCTAAGTAAAGTTAACCAAAAGTTATGTAATTAATTACGCATCGTATGAACACCCTACAGATTAGGTATACACACACACTCACACAGACGCGGCGGCGGCGTAGTGTTGTATCAGCACGCCGCCGCACGCGTCCACACTAGGAACACTTGGAACGTGTACACACTTTATTTATTTATACGGAAGTTTGGTCAAAAATTAAGTACCTATTTTTTTTACATAATTCGAATGAGAATCATGTACCGAGTATGCTCCTTAAATATTGATAGTAATTCACCAGTCACCCTGTATATACCATACTTATAATATACTAGATTTGCCCGTTAATTTCGGCATTAGTAATATATAAAAGAAAGCCCACAAATGGGGCAATACCCAACAACTACACAACAACAGAAATGTTATAAAAATTAAGAATTACGTTAACATGAATAGTTTGGCAGTATTTAACAAGTTAACTACAGAAAGAAACTGTTGTCTATAGATATTGTCTATCATAACTGTTTTTTTTCTTTTATAGGGATTTTAGTAGGATATACTTAATACTTATTGTGATAGAAACAGCAAATTTAACTGACCCCTTTGACAGTAGCGTATACAGGAACAGATATATCTTGATAGCTGGTTGATTCATGAACAGCTCGAGTACAAGGAGGCGGGCTGAGTTCCTCCTCCACAGATTGTTGGAGACCATCGTCTGCTACCTGAAAACATATAAATTAAGTTAAATAATATGTAAAAAACCTTGTGAGTTTGATAATGGTTTAACGCAGGTAATCAATGACATTTGTATATCTATAGTATTAAACAAATTTGATATTGAATAATTATTGTATTGTATTCTCTATGCATCATTGTGATAAATATCTTCATAAGATTTTGATAGTGTAGAATATAGTTATGAAAGTTGTAGTATAATGGACTTGAAAACTATAACATAATGTAGTGAATATGTGAATCTTGGCAGAGCAGACATATTCTCTAAACATAACTGTGATGTATAAATATCTTCATCAGGTTTTGATAATGTAGAATATAGTTACGAAAATTGTAGTATAATAGACTCGAAAACTATTACATAAAGTAGTATATATATGTGAAACTTGGCAGAACAGTAATAATAGTAATAATCTGGTATATAAGTATATATTAATTCCTTATGTACCTGATATATCTTGGCCTCCCAGCTAGGAAATCTATGTAAGGGCGGAGTCGGCGGGCGAGGTTGGTCTGAAGATGAACTATCACCAGTAGATGATCCTCCGCGACTGTTGCCTTGAACTACAACATTGACACCCTGCCATGCGGGAGTACGTTCTGAAACATAATATTAATAAGTTCTGAAACATGAAATTTATTAATCCTTTATATAGTGTAAGAAAAACTGGTTAGATCATATTAAGTATTATACAGTTGCATATTAAGTATTATACATAATATTAATAAGTTCTGAAACATGAAAATAATAAGTCCTATATACTGTAAGAAAAACTGGTTGGATCATAATATTAAGTATTATAGAGTTGATGAGTAATTACAATATTTATTATAAGGGTTGTAAATGAATGACGATCTTAGGATAAAACCATGCATTTTTTAAAAACTTCAACAAATATAAGAATGTTGTTGGAGGGATAATTTGTAATATACAGAAATTTATGTGATGTTTGTTGTATTATTATAAATATAATATGTGATTCTATTATATACTCTAATATGTTTACATTTCAGAAAATTGTAGTAGTATAATTACAAAATTTGCTTTATTAGTAATAATTTAATTGGGGAAAGTACCACTTTATCATTCATAATGAATAGCAAGGCAGACCCTGGCTAAAAAGCTGTGAAATTGCCAGGTAGAAGAGTAAATATTATTAGAATTGGTATACAATTATTCAATATATGTATTTTTAATCTGTGCTCTTCTTACAGTAAAGCCACATACCTCTACTTGGTGTGTATATTTCAGCATAATCATGTGTAGTATCGCCATCAGTGGATGTGTTTGGTGTAGTTGGCAACACCACTAAGTTTTCAACAGCAGCCTAGAAATTGAACAAAAAATGTTACTAGATTTGTTATAAGTTAATAATAAATTGATATTATGATATGTTGGAAAATATTTAAGAAATTTATTGATATGAAAATAAGATGAATGATATTTGTTAATCAAAATTCAATTTTATCTCACATAATGTATTGAAACCTTTCAATTGATGTTAAAGAACTATCTACACATATAAATGTATATAATTATATGGAATCCTTACATAAAAGTAATATGAAAAGTATTATTTAGTTAATCTATAACTCCTTGTCCTTGCAATTGTTACTGTTATTTATTTATAATAAAAAATAGTTTAGGTTATAGGAACTTGAAGAATAACTAAGTCAAAATTTTACATATCTACTAATTTATCAGCAAAGTTAATAATTATATATGAAAATAGTAAATTACCGCCAAATCATCAGCCAGTAGACTGGCCGTTGTCCTTTCATCCATAGTTCTATTCATGGTGGTCAGTTGGCTGTTTGTGTTCGTCTGTGTGAGATTTGTTGTACCGATCGATAGATTCCTTCTGTGTCTCACCGGAGTACTGTAGTGAGGCTCAGAATTTATTGGCAACTGGAAAAGTTAATTCATATTAGAGAAATGATTTAGTTTTATTATTATACATACATATGTACAGAACATTGTAAAGGAAAACATAAAAATTAAGTTTTTTTTATTTATTTAAGATCCACCAGTGATAATTACATTAATACAATATTGGGTAAAAAGAAATACAGTGAAGCTTAATTCTAAATGCATTACCTTTTAAGGCAGATACAGCATGCAAATATTAGGAAGTTTATAAATCATTTATTACTTTGGTAAGTATTATTAATTTGGTAGTTAATTAGAATAAAAATGGTATTATAATTACTCTTGGTAGTACTAAATTTGAATTGTATTAATTATGGTGTTTTAACAATTTATATATACATTCATAAGTTTTGAAAATATTTTATTACTTACACCCAGGGTGAAAACACAATGCATTAAAGAATTAACACTTGTTCTATCAAGTTTTGATTTTAAAGTAGCAAAATATAAAACACACAATAAAGTATTTAAATTATATGAATATAAAAATAAAGATTTCTGTGCAAGAAAAAAATTTGCAGTCTGGGAAATTAGATAATTACATATGTACTGTTTCAAAACATTAAATTAATGATTAGTGAAGACCTTCATGTTCGTAAATGAAACAATAAAAAATTATTAGGTGAGTATAATACATTTTTAATACACATCTAGCATGATGCAAATCACATATGAGCTAAGATGTATTTATATTATTCCTCGTAAACCAGTATTAAAAGACCAAGCGTAAAATATAACATTAAACAGTGTGTGCAAAACAGGATTTTAAATATAGCAAATGAATATTAGTAAAGAAAATCGTGCTTTAACATCCATCTGTACCTGTGGACCTTCCAAGCTCTCAGAACGTCGTCTGTTAGCCAGACTGCTTTCTTCTGACCTCACTTCCAGGGATAAACTCCCACGTGATGGTAAGAACTGGTGATTAATTACAATTTGAAGCTATGTGGATGGTCATACAATGATAGAACCGAGATATATACTTGCTTAGACCGCAACATAATTGAATAATAACACGGCTCAGAATGTATGTGCATGTTAATGAAAGCTTGATTAGGCGATCATTAAATAATGCACAAAAATCATGTAAGATTTGTTATTTAAATGTTAATGTTATACATATAGTAAGTGGGTATTAATTTAACAGCATACTTACAGCACTAACAGCGCAATTCCTGCTTCCCTGTGCTGCTATGTGGTTTCTTAATAATTCAAGCTGTTGATTGCAGCGGTCGTTCTGTTCTCTAAGCTGTTGGTTCTGCTGCTCCAATTCCCGCAGCTTATTCGTCACCCACTCTTTGATCCGCGCCGCTTTCGCTTCAACCTGCTTCGCGTCTTGAAGCCGAAGATGCTTCTAGAAGCAATTTGGAATTTAAAATAAAATTTTTATACAGTAAAAAAATATTAAAGAAATAAACAGTTTTAATTTTATTTACAATAGCTACGGAAAAACCTACTTGACGAAAACAACTCAAACGTTAATTCACACTTAAAATATACCTGCATTCTTATATTATATTCTCGAGATCTTTACACATCCTTTTCATTGGCATATTTGTTGATGTAAGCATTACATTATATGTCATACTAATAAGATTTTCATTCATAAATATTAAAAACAATATGCGACCAAACAAAAACAAAACCAAGCGCGTCACAAAGCTAACGGATAAAGAGTACGTCATTGTGACGTTTGAATGACGTTACTGTAGAAATGACGTAGAGCTTAGCATTATACAGACAGGTCCATAGAAGAATTGTTTATGGATGCATTCATTTGAGAAAATGCATAGAGCGTTTATTTCAATTAGTACTGTCTATAAATATAGAGATCTATTTAAATTGGTAATACAAACACTTTTGTTACAAGAAATCGTATTTATTGTAAATTTATTTTCTTGTACATTAATAGGTAATGATTGTTAGTATTATTTGTTAAGAGTTTATTGAAAGTAATTGTGAACAAAGCTATCTTGTTGGCGGAATGGTTCCCAGGAGCATCATTAACAGTTAGAACGGACGCTATGAATTCATGATTATTTGTTAGGTACTACGATTTGTCCAAAGCGTTTTCTATTAATTTTATTGTAATAAATGTTGGCTTTTCATACAGATATTTAATATATTTATCACAACCGCGAACATGGTTAGTGGAAAGTAATATAATTATTTATTCTTGATAAAATATTATTAACGGAATATTTATTGCGCTTGAATAATTTAAAAATCATTTAAATTATCTTAATTTTTTCAACTTATAGTAAAATCCTATACGGCTAATGAAATTTGCCTGTAAAGACAAAACTGTGACCATGTATTTCATATAATAACATTACATACACTTATTACATTCATTTATTTTATTATTCGTTCCCATCTCAAAAAAGTTTTAAAATTTGTCAAAGAGAAGTATACTTCTTATTATATCAGCTACCTTCTATCTATCAATAAAATCGGTCTGGAACTTCCAGAAGTTATACGGTGATTGGTCCGTAAGAAGATGAAACAAATCCGAAGATGAAACAAAAATTGTCTGGCTTGGTGTAACCAACCATTTATTATAATAATGCATTTAGACGATCTAATTTCAAATAAAATAATTGTTATCGAATTCGACTTGATGCCGGTTATAAAATAATCGAAATAATATATATATTTAATGTGTGACAATAATAATAAAATTTTATTTATGTATATGTATAATAATGAACCTGTTCTTCTATCTGGCCTTCTAGACGCGAGATCGCTTTAGGAGCACCCTCAGCGCCCGCCGGCCACTCGCACAGGCGTTGCTCCATGGCGCGGACCTGGAAACAAATAAAAGAAGATTTAATGACGAGACTTAATAAGGACCTACTGCTGAGTAAAGACCTTCAACAAACTGTTCACCTGGAAACAATTACAAAACGAATTAATCACGAGACTTATAAGAATCTGCTGTTGGATAAAGGCCTCCAAAAAATTGTACTACGATTGGTCTTATATGTATACGTACGTCTTACGAGCCATGATACTAAATTATATTAAAATATAAAGAATCACAGTATCATATAGCTACGTATTTCACTCGTAATTATATATATACTAATTTGTTCCCGCGACTTCGTCTGCGTTAGTTTCAGAATTAAAAATGTACCGATATAGCTAAGTGGGTGAACTCTTTTCCTCGTTAATGAGAGTAGGTAAGAAGATTTTGGGATTTAATCAACTTTTTTCTCTTTCAATCGGCTGAAAAGTATCCTATTTCCTTTCCGTTGTACTAATTATTATCTCTCCACCAATTTTCAGACAAAATCGTATAGCCTTTTTTGTATTATATATAGTGTAACTACTAACTAACACGACTTTCTTTTATATATAAAGATTACCATTATAACTATATTCGTATATAAATTAGTAACAATGACACACATTACGTATCATAATCAATACATTTACTATATATATGTTTTATTCGTAGTTAATATAATTGTCATACCTTTATTGCGGTCACATTATTAATACATTCAAAACCGCATACAGACATTGACATATAAAACATGATTTAATATTTATTAAGACTATACTTTTATATCATTTTAAACCGCATTACAACAATAGCATTCTAAGAATAGAAACTGCGAAACTCACGTCTGTGTACGAAACAGAAAATGATACAATTTCTTTAAGTTTTATATAAACAATTATGTTTGGAAGATATGAGAGATTCTATATCAAATATTTAATTAGAATGTACTTTCCATTCTCCATCTTTTCCCCCTTATTCCCCAATCTATGGGTGACGGTACTATCTCAACAAGGTAGGTTGTCTGTTCCGTTGTCCCCTTCAGCATAAAAAAGCTTTATCTAATGAAGGAACACTGTACTAATCTATTCAAACTGTACAGCTCTAGGTACACTATTACTCGATGCGCACTGTATTAATCTAGGTAAACGGTATCAGTCTAGGTACACGGTAAGATTCTAGTGTAAACTGTATACAGTATTAGTATAAATACTCTGTACTGGAAAGCGATTTCTATATTAGTCTGGGGTACACTTCTTTGAATATTCTTTTGAATCAAATTACCTTTCAAATATTATGAAAGAAATTAATATAATAACACTGATATAATAAAACCAAAAGTTTATGTATATTAGTTACATCTTATAATTACATTTTACACTTCTTACTTCACATAATGTCTTCAATAGTGTGCATTGGTTTTATAAGTAAATCTTACACAATCAATTTCAATGTTTTATATGAACATACATGTATAGCTGGATATATCGCAGAATAATTTTATTAAAACCCTATAAGATCTTTAGAAAAGTCTTGTTTAAATAATAGACTTATACATCATAAGAAGTAGTAGTCGTAAGCAAGTTTTACTTTCTAGTAATTTCATCATAATCTTCCATATTATTATATGATTCGTATCCATATTACATACGAGTTTTATTACTTTCTTTGGACTAATGAAACACGCCTAATTCTGTCATTTATATACAAATTAAGACATTATAATGAGCAAAATATTTTGTAGAAAACACTTCAAACTGTCTTTGTTTAGTTTGGCGATGCGAACTAGTAGTAATCTTACTATACTATATACTTACTATATTTATCCATGTTCATTAAATGCGACATCCTCACAGTTTTATATGAAACTTAATAAGACATACACTGCACGAAATTTTAACACTCACACTTACAGTTTATTAACAGGTCATATATAGTATTAACGGTAAGTATGAAACATACTTACTTTTTTTAGCTAAAGCTTTTAAATTAGTTTTTATGCTTTAAGCTGTAAAATGTATGAGTCAGCTAACTTCCATTTAATTAAGCTGTTATATTTACGTAAATTATCCATAATAAAATATCATACTATTTTATTCAAATTATTTATAATAAAAACGATTTATACTTATAAAAAGCCAGGGAATATACTATGTATATAATTGATATAAGAAAAATAATTTATTAGAATGAATTGTTTTGTTTTTAATAGTTGTTTTATCCGTTTTAAAATAACAATGAAATGTCAACTAAGAAGTAATACCCAGGAATAGATGGCATTAATCACAAATGTCGTAATTTGCCTGAGTCACGGCAAGAGGGGACGCCAAGTATCCAGAAATTTCTATATCGGGTATACTTAGACGATGTTGGAAAAACAAATCATAGACGTTTGAAGTTTTGATATTGAGGTAAAATGGATTATTTATAATAATAAATACTACGTTATTTTTTTTTATTTGAAATATTTATGAAAAGAGTTTCTATATTAAGTGTTGCCAGTATTATATATTGTTAATACCGAATGTTGATGCGGTCAAATATAAATACTAAACTTTGTTCATTACAAACTTGCACAATCTAACTGCAAACATTAGTTAAGTTAAACTTCCTCATTACAACGGACAGTTAATTTAGTAATGAAGGCGTCAGTGTAACTTGTTTATATTTAAGACATAATAAAAACAATAATTACGTACAAGAATAGACCGTAAATTATGCGTTCGAAATTCAAAAGAGTTTGCAACCTTTTAGGTAAATAAGCGAAATAATTGCAATTGAACGCATTATTAAGCCAAACCGGATGGCGGGAGTGCGGACGTCGTTTTGTTTTCCCGCAAAAATACCGTAGTCTTTTATGAATGAATAAGTGCAAATTTAACGTTCGAAATTCAAAATATTTTTTGTTTTTTTTTTTTGTTTTATCAGATACAAAGGATTAAAATACCGTAGTCTTGTATGAATGAATAAATGCAAATTTAACGTTCGAAATTCAAATTTTTTTGTTTTTTTTTTTTTAATTATTATTATCAGATACCTACAAAGGTTTAATATAGAAATGCCACCCAGAGTGCCGTGGTAACAAATTAAAGTGTTTTTTACTAGTGTTTACAGTATCAATCTAGTTAGAGACGCTCCATTTGGCATCAGGAATAGATCAAACATAAGTTGGCTTGTCTCGAACGTGACGTTTCCTGGTTTTGAGATAAGGCTACTTATTTGGCGCTAGCTTTGTATTGTCTATTGTCTCTTTTTAAATAAGATATAGAATTTATCTGTTCAAATATTATCTATGGTTTCATGACGTCATTATCCCATAAATGTATCTGTGGTACAATATACAAATAACTATGTACATAGTAACAAAGAACTGTCAGTTTAAAATTAATTGTTTTAGAGGGAATAGTATGAGTTAATGGTCTACTTGAGAAATGAAAGTATAAAGATAATAATTAACAAGTATGTAGGTTTAATTTTAGTAGGTTTAAACTGTACAAATATAATCTGTATACGCTGTTGATTACAAATAAATAAATAAAATAAAAATAAAAAAATTAAGTTAAAATACCTATATATATTTTTATTAAAAATAAAACCTCTTTATTCATTTTTATTCAGATTATACTCATATCACTTGAGAAGCAAAACCTTTATTTATTACTCGATTAAAAAACCCAGTAATGATACGGTAAAAATGCATTACATCATTTTACAAATATGGTACATCTGTGGTATGGATGGAAAAGAATTCGATATTTTTACACATCCAAATCGATATTGTTCAAATATAACTACAAACGAAAGCAAGGAATCCGCCTTCCAATAAAAAAAAGAAATCTGCGATCCATTTAAGAGTTAATATGCTACAGACAGACACACACACAAAAATAACATACGAATTATATAAATTAGATTTCATCCAAAAATATTAGAGATTATACATATATAATTATTATAAATAATTACATACGCCTATAACATTGCGGACGAAATTTCGGTTACTATAATAAGAAAAGTTTGTAAAAACGAAAAAAATGTTCAGGCTGTTTAAGAATATTAATTGTTATTGGATTTTAATAAAATAGTTAGCTCATTGGATCCCCCTGAATACATAATTAACATATAAACTTTTAATTACAGGGCACTGGAGATTTCCGTAGGGATTTCAACTGACAATAAATCGTAAATGTGAAAACCGGTGTTAAGTTACCGATATTAATTATAAAGATTTATTGCTAGTGATGTATTTTAATGTACATGTTAAAAGATTTTCAAAATAAAAAACTTGTTAAGTGAAGTATTTTCAATCGATCCATACAAAAGTTCACGCCCCACAACTAACTTCCTAACTAACAATCAGAATCCGAGTTTATTTCACCCAATACGTATACAAAAGTTAGTACTGTAATTTGAAGTTATCAAAAGTTCTGATAATTTATATAATATGATTTAATTACTATATATACTGTCCTTCCGTATGTGCTTTAATATATACAGTATATAAGTAATACGTGGTATATTTTCTATTCAATTGTATATTTAAAAATAAACTCAAGAAGATAATTGATTTCAATAAATATTTTCTTAGTAAAAAAAAACCTAGTATATCTAGTAAAGAGATAATTTTGTTAATTCTAAAACGACCCAATTAATAACTTCCCGATCTGATAAGAATAACTCATAAAGCTAGGCTCGAAAGTTTTAAAAGAAAGGTACATTGTACTCTATTCAAAGTATAACTTACATATAATGTATTATTTTCCAATTAGAAACCATTCTTAAGACATCAAAAAGAAAATTAATCCTAATCGTTTCCCTAAAAAAACGAATTATATTACCAATTTAACAGTTTAATAAGCTAAGGCTTCTGTATCGAATACCAACCACGCAAAGCATTTAATTTAAATTACCAAAAAATTATCATTCACAAAAAATATATTAATTAAATTGATATTATATACAATCACAAATATTCACATATAAACACAGAACATATTATTATTATTATTTTAGAGTAAGGAA